ACAGGACAGAGCAGAGTTTAGGGCTGTTGTACATAGGGTCACTAGGAGTCGTAAGCGACTCAATGACACTTAACAACAACAACAACCAAGAAAAAGACAAATAACCCCGCCACAAAATGCAAGTTAAAAGCACAAGGAGACAGCATTTAGCTTCCCCACCCACGAGTGCTGGTGAGGATGAAGGGGAAAGTGGAACCTGCATGCATTGTTTGTGAGAATGCAAAGTGTTACCACACCACATTTGGGGGCGGGGGGGGGGGAACCAAAAAACGTGTTCCTAAAGGGTTCCTTAAAAAAATAAAAACACAGCTACCTTACGTAGCAATTCCATTTCCAGGCACATACCAAAAAAAAAACAACAAAACTTAAAAGTGGACACTCAGAGAAAAGACTTACTATATTATTGCAACATTACTGACAACAGTCAGGAGGTGAAAGCAAATGAATGCTTCACAGACGGATAAGCAGACGATGGTGCCTACACGCAGCAGAACATCCTCTGTTCAGTCGGAGAAGCAAGGCTTGTTACTTGTTACAGCACAGATGTCGCCTGATGGCCTGACATCGAGTGAAAGAAGTCAGTCACAAAAAGACAAAAAGTACGTTATCTCACCTATAAACAAACAAGACGAGGCAAATGTCTAGAAACTGAAACATAATCGTGGTTGCCGGGAGTAGAGAGGGAGGCAGGGAGAGATTAACAGTGATGGAAACGTCTTACTGGTTCAGGGGTGCACAACCGCGTGGTGTAATTGCTGGTGGTAGGGGAGTGGGGCATCTGCAAAAAGCTGACTTGGCAGAAGTAGTTTGATGGATAGATTTCTTTTTTTTTAAATGTAATTTTATTTTTATTGTTATTATTAATTGTTTGAATGTTTACAGAGACTTTGGATTTCTATTCATTTGTTGTTGCACTTTTCTCCCTGCCCACCCCTCCCCCGGATGGGTATATTTCTAAAGATTAAGCACGAAGGAAGAGAGTCACTGCTTAGATTGCTTATGGCCAACCAACACCTCAGAGATTTTGTTGCCCCCCCTTGATTTGGAAATTTAGGGTCATGGCCTGTGATTGCGTGTGCCTGTCTATATGGTGATATGTAGACCGTGTACGTGCATAAGCGTGTGTGTGAGTGAATGTGCATGTGTGTGTGTGTGTGTGTGTGTGTGTGTGTGTGTTATGGTGTGTTATGGTGTGTTATGTGTGTCAGGGAGTCTTGGTCCAATCTTCCTGAGGGTGAGTCTGAGAGGCGGGGACCGTGTCCGCTGTTGGGTGGAGGCAGATGGCAGAGCTGTGATCTCAATTCAGATCTCTGTCACTCTGTGATCTTGGCCTCACTTTTGGTTCTCTGGAATGTGAGGGTCAGTATATGTCCCCAGTCCTATTGCCCACGATGGGCAGCTGCTGACCTCAGGGGCCACCTCTACTGACCCTCCGGGTCCCTTCCTTTCCACAGAAATGACGTCTGAAGAGGTACTGCACGTGAAGACCCCCATCCGGGACAGCATGTCCCTGTCCAAGGTGGCAGGCACCAGTGTCTACCTCAAGATGGACAGTGCCCAGCCTTCTGGCTCCTTCAAGATCCGAGGCATTGGACACCTCTGCAAGACAGTAAGGACAGGTGTCCACATAGGCCAGGATGGGACAAGCCTCTTCCCAGACAGGGCAGGGCCAGTGCCGTGAGAGTCCGAGGGGTCACAGAGAGGACGCCTGTTCCCCTAATAATTGAGACCCCATCAGAGCTTCTGCTGGTCCCTCGTGGACTGACTCCTGGGCCATCACAGGCCTCTCCTTCATCCTGCTGGTGGGCTAGATGTAGTCACAGGGGACGAGGGCAGCACAGGCCAGTGTAAGCTGGAATCTTCTAGAAGGCATTGCAGGTGGGAGGGAAGCACCAGGTCACACTGACCCCTCCCGCCTTGTCTCCACAGCGGGCGGAGCAAGGCTGTGCACACTTCGTCTGCTCCTCGGGTAAGTGACCTGCAGCTGACTGCACGCAGACCAGCTTCTGCCTGACCGGGTGCTGTGTGCCTCGGGGTGAGCCCTCTGCTTCTCTGGGCCCTGACTCTCCCCAGTTATGAGAACTTGGAAAGAATGGCAGCATTCTCCATCTGGAATTAGAGGGTGGGGAGTAGCCATTGGTCACGCAGAGCTCCGAGGAGGGGTGACTGGAGTCCCGGGTCCTCAGGTGCCGACACGGCCTCTCCTCTCCTCACCCTTGGCAGCGGGCAACGCTGGCATGGCAGCCGCTTATGCCGCCCGGAAGCTGGGCATCCCCGCCACAATCATCGTGCCCAGCACGACCCCTGCCCTCACCATTGAGAGGCTCAAGAATGAGGGTGCCATGGTCAAGGTTGTGGGTGAGGTGAGTGGCAACCCAGGACAGGAGCTGGGGGAGGATTAGGTGGGGGGACTGTCTCCCCACTCAGCCCCTGACGCTCTCTGTCCCTCCCACCTCTGTGGTCTTGCAGAGCCTGGATGAAGCCGTGGACCTGGCCAAGGCCCTGGTGAAGAGCAACTCAGGCTGGGTCTATGTACCCCCCTTTGACGACCCCCTTATCTGGTATGTGGATCCCAGGGACACTAGCAGGAGATGGCCACCTCCCACACTGCGGAGGGGGCACCCACATGTGCTGCAGCCCTCTCGTGCCCAGCAGTGCTGAGCATGTGCACACGGGCCCATGGGCACCGACGCAGCCTGCACACACCGACGTCCACCCACACAGCTCGCCCAGCTGGCGGACACACAGGGCCCTGAGGCTGGCTCTCAGAACCAGCCAAGAATTCCCAGGAAAACAGCTCTTGGTCTCCTAATGTTCCACAACAAAAAAAGGGGGGGAAAGACCTCAAGTGGGGGACTTTAAGGAACAAAAATTTATTTTCTCACCATTTAAGTGATTAGAGGTCGAACCCACCTTTCTTTTTTTTAAGATTTTAATTTATTTATTTTTCATTTCAATGAACATCTATAGAGATTTTGGAATTCCATTCCTTCATTGTTGCACCCTTATCCCTGCCCACCCCACCTCACCCCTCCCCCCCATTTGCTCCTCTCCTTGAAAAGCAAAAGAAAAACTCCCTCATTGGTACACAATCCCCCCCGCACCTCTCCCAATCCCACCCCCAACCCCAAATATAACCCACTCTGCAACCCTCATTGCGTACTCCTACGATAAACATAATGCCCTAAAATATAATACTTTTACACTATTCTCTCCCCCATAGACTTCAATGCTGTAAACATATTTCATCCAGTTTTTCTCAGCCTTACCCCCACCCCAATGCCAGCCTCATTCTACAACAGTGGCACCATATAGTATTTGTCCCTTTGTGACTGAGATACCTCACTCAGCATAATGTCCTCCAGGGTCACCCATTTTGAATAATATGCATGAGTTCCTTTTTTTCAATGCAGCATAGTATTCCATTGTGTGAATATACCACAGCTTCTCTACCCATTCGTTTGTTGATGGGCATTTAGGTTGTTTCCAACTCCTTGCTATTGTAAACAAAGCTGCAATAAACATGGGTATGCATATATCTACTTGGATGTCATTTATGGTCTCTTTAGGGTATATTCCCAGTAGTGGAATTGCTGGGTCAAATGGTATCTCTATTTGCAACTTTTTGAGAAAGCGAACCCACCTTTCTCAGGTATGAGCTGACCAAAAAATAGCAAGGGAAATTCTGCTTTCAGACAAGATGTCACCTATAGATACGAGAATTAGGAATCTCACGCATAATCTCGGAAACAGTATGTAACCCATAATTGGAGATGATTCCAGAAAACACAGAATGGAGGGATAAAGGGTGCTTTCAGGAGGTGATAATCTCTGGGGCGATTGGAGGTTAATCCTTTTGGGGAACCTCGGGAGACAGGATAGTCCACACACCTCTTTATTTCCACCTGAGGGGAAGGGAGCTGGGGTATTTATTCCTCAAATTCCACAGCCCCTGATGTCCTAACACCTGTCGCACGAGGATGGTGGGGAGCCCCAGTGGCCATAGAAAATGTTCAACAAGGAGACATGGATGCTGGACATGGGGATAGGATGGGGCAGGGAGAGGGGAAGGCGTTCAGCTGTCAAGGCAGACCCTCAGCTTGGAAGCCAGTGCTGCCCTGCCCTGTCCGCTGGATCAGGATGGAGCAGGGGTGAGGAAGGCGAACAGCCTTTGACTAAGAAGCCAGCCCTGACCTGCCCTGTCCCCTTCCTCACTGCAGGCAAGGCCACACCTCCATCGTCAAGGAGCTGAAGGAGCAGCTGAGTGACAAGCCGGGGGCCATCGTGCTGTCCGTGGGCGGCGGGGGCCTGCTGTGTGGAGTGGTCCAGGGGCTGCAGGAGGTGGGCTGGGGCGATGTGCCCATCATCACCATGGAGACTGTTGGTGCCCACAGCTTCCACGCTGCCACCACCGCCGGCAAGCTGGTGTCCCTGCCGGAGATTACCAGGTGAGCTGTCTTGCCTTCTCAGCCCATTGCACGGATGAGAACCCACGTCACCCGGGCTCTTTTTGTTACACTTCCTCAGTCATTGATGGAGTTTTATAAACCATGTTCCATCAGTCCGCTAGGCATCCACAGAGCCCCCAATATGCGCGAGATGCAGGATGATCCTGGGGAGGGAGTGGTGGGGAAACACAGCCCCCCTTCAGACCTTCACGGGTGTGGTTAGATAGGGCTGTATTACACAGCAGTCTGAAATACCAATCAACGATGCTCATCTTTCTCCCTCAGAGCAGCTGGTGGATTCAAACCCTCTGTCTTTGGATTGGCAGTGCAGCCTCTTATCCCCTAGGCCATCAGAGCTCCCTCCCTTCATATCTATATACACATGTATACATATAGATAGAGCTACAGATAGATAGATACATAGGTACAGAGAGGAGAGAGAGAGGGATGTGTAGATGATAGATAGATAGATAGATAGATAGATAGATAGATAGATAGATAGATGATAGATAAATAGATGATAGATAGATTATAGATTTAGATGGATAAATGGATAGATAATAGATAGATAGATAGATAATGGATAGATGATAGATAGATAATAGATAGATGATAGATAATAGATAGATGACTGATAGATAGATACATAGATAGATAGATGATAGATAAATAATAGATGATAGATAGATAGATTATAGATTTAGATAGATAAATGGATAGATAATAGATAGATAGATAGAAAATGGATAGATGATAGATAGACAGATAGATAATGGATAGATGATAGATAGATAGATAGATAATAGATAGATGATAGATAGATACATAGATAGATACATAGATAGATAAATAATAGATAAATGATAGATAGATTATAGATTTAGATAGATAAATGGATAGATGATAGATAGATAGAAAATGGATAGATGATAGATAGATAGATAGATAATGGATAGATGATAGATAGATAGATAGATAGATAATAGATAGATGACAGATAGATAGATACATAGATAGATAGATGATAGATAAATGATAGATAGATTATAGATTTAGATAGATAAATGGATAGATGATAGATAGATAGATAGATAGATAGATAGATAGATAGATAGATAGATAGATAGATACTAGACAGATGATAGATAGATAGATATAGATGATGGAGAGAGAGAGAGGATTAGATGGATAGATGGATAGCGTGCCTAATCTGAGTTGCCACTGGTGATTTCAAACTGGTTGAGGAATTACCAGTGCTTTGCAGGTGCAGGGGGACCCCCACCTCCCTGTTCACTGACCCCACCTCCCTTTTCACTAACCATGTCCTGGTTTCTCTCTCTCTCTCTCTCCTCCCCCACCCCAACTGTCCCATCCTGGTCTCTCCCCTCCATCCAGCGTCGCCAAGGCCCTGGGTGTGAAGACTGTGGCCACGCAGACCCTGAAGCTGTTTCGAGAACACCCCATTTTCCCCGAGGTCATCTCAGACCAGGAGGCTGTGGCTGCCATAGAGAAGTTTGTGGGTACGTGCCCGTCCTCCTAGGTGGCTCAACCAGGTGACCGTCCACCTTGGGTGCCAACGTCCCCCATGATCCCAACTCCCAACCCCGTCTAGAACTTCTCCACTAAGGAAAAGCAAATACCACGTGGTGACAAAAACCATACAAACGTCACGCGTGAATTAGTCTGATGGTTGTGACGTCATAGTCTGCTCTGACTACCAGACTGTCAATATTGAATGTGAGCTTCCTGGCAGCCAAGGAGAAAAGGAAAAAGATGGGGCTCAGGGTTAGATCTGGAGATGGATCTACAACAGGGTTCATACTTGGACTTTGGGGATCAGCCTTGGATGGAGGAAAGCCAGTTAATGAAAGTAGCGTGTGTACTGTTGTTAATCCAGCTTGTCACTCTTGTTCAGAGAATGTCTTAACACTGTGTCCAGACAATCACAACGTTAATTGTGTTAACACTACTGACGCCACTATGCCTTGGCTCCGGACTAGGGAAGGGCAGTTTAGGGGGGTGAGGGAAGCTGGGAGCTCTGATTGGCCCCAAGTTCACCCCAGAGCTCCCTTACCTCCTGTGGGGTCTTCCCTCATTCACGGCCCCTTTCCCCCGCAGATGATGAGAAGATCCTGGTGGAGCCGGCCTGCGGGGCCGCCCTGGCTGCGGTCTACAGCCGTGTGGTTCAGAAGCTGCAGGGCGAGGGGAAGCTACGAGCCCCGCTGGCCTCCCTGGTGGTAATCGTGTGCGGGGGCTCCAACATCAGCTTGGCCCAGCTTCGGGCCCTCAAGGAACAGCTGGGCATGAAGAATGGGCTGCCCAAGTGAGGAGCCCCCTCCACCTGACACCCTTCCCGGGGCACCCCTGGAGTGGGTGGAACGCTGTCCAGCATCTCGTTGTACATAGCATTCCATTGGGCAGTGGTGAGCCTGTGGCCTGGGCAGCGGCCACCTCCCGGCTGTCAAGAGCCCAGTGCATGAAGAGCCCCAGATCAGGCCCTTGAGGCTGTGCAGGGCTGGACTTCTTCAGTGTCTGTGACTGTTCAGAGCCACCCCTGAGAGGGGACAGCTGCTCTGACTGCCATCTCCAAGCTGAGGATTGTGGGAAATTCCAGTGTGAGATGCTGAGCGGAGCAGGTTGTCTCTGTGAAGGTGGACCCTGCCTCTCCTCAGTCCCAGAGCACAGTGAGGCCTGGCTCACAGGACAGAGATCGCCCAGGCTCCTCCCTGAGAAGACAGACGGCTGGCATCCACGGTCAAGGCCATCTCGTTCTTCCTCTCTAGAAGCCCGCACCTTTACTCCATTTTCTAATGCGTAAACTTTTTCATGGACAAGGAAAATATATTTATGAAACAGTTCTTCAAGGTCATCTCCCCACTGTCTCTCTCTCTCTCCTTCCCCCCTCACCATGCCAGCTTTTGATCACATCCTGGAGCCCCTTGAATACCACAGGAACCCCTGGGGCTGAATGCAGGAAGCTGTCAGGGGAGGAGCTAGCCAAGAGGGGAGGCCGACCTCATTCTGCTAGGACTTCATCACGGAACAACAGAACTAGTGAGCAGGGGTAGTGAGCTCCCCATCCCTGGGAGTATGTAAACTGACCTGGGCACCCACCTCTGGGAGAGAGGAGGAGTCCGTCTTGCAATATGACCCCCCTCCTCTAGAGCAAGTGAATGCTGGAGTGCACTGGCTTATAAAAACAGGGTACATTTCTGAGAACTAGCAGAGCCCATGCCTGCTTCTAATGGTCCTTCCGCCGCCTCTGGTGGTCCCTAAGATGCCTTTTTGGGAGCCTCCAGTTCCTAGCAGGAGCTCTGGTGGCCGAGGAGGTGCCAAGCCAAAGGACAATCTCCTCTCCTGTGATTTACAACCTCTTAAAGCCCCTTGGGGGGCGGGGTGTCAGAGATGGGTCTGCTCCCACCTCGTGGCAAGAAGTTCAAGGATTTGTTTTGTGGTTGGTGGGGGGTTTTCTCACCCTCCAATTATTACAAAGCTTGAAAATGACTCCCAGCCCCTTAAGCGTACATCACAGAGGCCGCACGGGACTCAGAGCACAGCTGTGGCACCCAGGGTTTTCCGCAGATGGCCAGGGCTTTCTTCCGAGTCCCCTCAGCGTAGATTCGAACCATTAACCTTTCAGTTAGCATTCGGGTGTGTGGACCATCTGGACCACTCAGTGGGCTCTCAGATCCAGTCTCTCAAAATTTGTCCCTAACCCTGGGGACAAGGGCTTACAAGGTTCCGGGGAGGGTGAAAACCCACCCCACCCACACAACAGCAAGCTTGTGTGTATGTGTGTGTGTGTGTGTGTGTGTGTGTGTGTGTGTGTGTGTGTGTGTGTGAGAAAGCTGGCAGGGCCCGGGGCATCTCACCTGGAGCCCACAAGCTCCGGGAGCGTGAGATTTAAAATACTTCTCCATTCAAGAACTCCAGAACCGCTTCTCATTTCCACTGCCTACCCGAGCCAGATGTGGAAATCCCAGAGGCAGAGCAGGTCTGCCTGCCCCCTGGTGGAGGGGTGGAGGCGCTGCGGGCCGGCCCTCAGGGAAGGCCAGTGGCCACTTTGGCACTATTTGAGACTGGCTGTCTCTGTAGAGGTGGACCTGGCCTTCCCTGGGCCAGCTGAAGCTACACTGACCCATGACACACACACACCCCCATACTCTTTTCACAGTTAATCTGGCTTTATGCGGTCCCCTCATGTCAGGTAGTAAACTAAGACCAAAACCCATGGCCACTGTGTTTATTCTGACTGGCAGCAGCCATGTAGGGTGGAGGAGGACTGCTCACGGGTTTCCAAGGCAGAGATTTTTATGCGAGCAGACTGCTTCACCCTTCTACCACAGAGCTGTGGGTGGCTTTGAACTGCCAACCTCTTGGCTAGCAGCAGAGCACCATCCAGTAAGCCAAGGCAGCCAGGATCATTCTAGAGAGCAGACTGGACCTGGCTCTTCCCATAATGAGCCTGGAGTACCACCACTGCCCCAGCCTCCACTTTCTCATCTGCCGAATGGACTTCATGGTGGCCCCAGCCTCGGGGGTGACCGTAAAGGGGCCATGAACTGGCTGTCACAATGCCTGGTGACCACCACGCCACCAGGAGCTGGGTCCAGGCCCCTGTAACTTCCCTCCACCCATTTCCTCATCTGTATTTTCACATGAAAACTGAGGCCCCAATGCGGCTACAGTGAGGGAACTTTGGGGTGTGTGAATAGTCTCGGGCAGGTGGGAACTGAAAGTAGGTGTCTGAAAACAACATGTGATTCCAAGGCTGGGGACTGCCACGTCATGAGGAGAGGCCGGAGGAGCAAGGCCCTCAGGTCCTCGCTGTCTTCCCCGAGCAAGGATCAGCATGGGGCACGCTGTGCCCTCACTCTGCATGTCTCCGACTTTCACAAGGCCACAGAGGCTTCGCTCACGCAGGACCCCCCAGTGCCTTGTTCTGGTGCCTGGGGTGCCCCAAGGGTATACCATCAGCATTTGCTCAAGGCATGATGGGCCTTCACTGTATGCTTGCCAGGGGGAGTCTGGTTATAATGACCTCATTTCTGACCTCACTGATGAGGTGACTGCAGGGGTCCCAGAGCTACTTGGCAAGACGGGAATAGGACCGTGGCCTTTGACCACAGGGCTGAGCATTCCTCTCGAGCAGATCCAGTACTGGCTCTCCTGTCTGTAGTATAAGCTCCACATGGCCATAAGGTGGGGCTGGGGGTACAGAGACCCTGTTCTATGTGGATCTGGACTTAGTCAACAGGATCGCTGGCACAAGACTGAGTGCTGAGTACGACCCCTAGAGGCCCTGGAGAACCAAGAGGGCTGCCCCACAGGCATAAAGAGGCCTCTTTATGGAACCAGGTGGCCAGGTCTCTTCCCCCATAGCGCAGCTGACCGTTGGTAACCAGCCGAATATTTAAACTTCTGCTCCAGAAACATGCAGGTGGGGTGGACCGGCAGGGCGTGGACTGAGTGTCAAGAGGATAACTGTGCAGGTGGCTAGCTAGGCGGACAGCTGGAGGGGGGTATGGATGAACAGGAGTGGACAGACTGTCAGAAGTGTCAACAGATGGGCGGGCAGGTGAGTACACGAACAGATGGATGGGAGGACGGACGGGTAGGTGGATGGATGGACAGGGGGCAGACTGATTGTCAGAGGGTCAGAAAGAGGGAAAGGAGGATGGGTGGACCAAGTACCAATGGGTGTGAGGTGTCAATGTGAAAGGGAAGGCGATGTCCCCAGCTCCCGCTGCCCCAAGAAGCACAGCCAAGGCCACGGCCTCTACTTTAATGATGGTTCAGCCCAGGCTTGGTTCCTACAGCGGGGGGCGAGGGCGGGGTCCCCTGTGAAGCCTGACAGACCGAGGCCGGGGTTGGAGGGGCAGGCACAGTCGTGCAGGCACGGCGTCGGGGAGGCGCACAGGCCATGTGGCCTCACAGCGCCGGAAGCTTTGGTTTTTGTCTTCACGAGTCCTCCTCTAGGAAGCTGCCCAGGAGGGCTGGGGGCTGTGTTCTCAAGGAAAAGAGGCGCCCGAGGGCTTGAGGAAGACCAGGTTCCTGGGCTGCGGCCACGCAACCCTGACAGCCAGCGGTGGACACCCTACAGGGTCAGTGTCACCCGCAGAAGGGCAGTCCTGCCCACTGAGGGGCATCCCAGCCTGGTCCTAGGACCTGCTCCTCTCAGGAAGAGGTGGCCATGAGGATGGAGCTCCCAAAGGTGGGGGAGATGCAGAAAGAGAGGGAGACGAGAGAGGGACAGAGAGATGAGAGACGGGGAGAGGAGAGAGACGAGAGAGGGAGATGAGAGGCAGAAAGATGAGAGAGGGAGAGAGACCCAGAGCTAGGGAGGGGGGGAGAGACAGAGGCAGAGATGAGAGGGGGGGGAGACAGCAGGGAGAGAGGCGGAGGGTGCCTGAAGGTGACCACCTCTCAGGGAGAATGGGTGGGTGTCAGTTCTGGGCCCCTGGGGTGCGGCCCCCAGGAGGAGACTCCCCAGACCACAGTGAACCCGGCAGACAGCAGCCGCAGTCCAGGGCGCGGCACACAGCGAGGCCCCCAAAGGGGACGGCGCAGGAGGGCCCGACCGGCAGGGTGGGCGGCCCCCCAGGGTCAGCAGGCAGAAGGCAGCAGAGCAGTGACGCTCTCAATCCCACCGGACCTCAATGGGTGAGAACTTCCAGAGGTCAGGCTGGCCCATGTGCAGCTGGCTGCGGAAGGGCGAGGTGCTCCACTGGAAGGGGGGTAGCTGGTCCCACGTGGGGCCGCTGACCGCCCGCAGGCTCAGGGCCTTGGCCAGAGCCGAGCTGGTCACCTGCAGGTGGGGGTGGGAGGCGGAGGAGGTGGCTCAGAGTGGGCGCACGCTCTGTCCTGAGCTCACCCCTGGTCCTGACCCCACCCTACGCTGTCCCTTCCTCCTAGTGACCCCACAGGCCAGAGCACAGCGGCCTCCTGGGATTTCCAAGGCTGTAAATAGGGTCAGTGGTCAGTAGCTCAGATTGACCAGCTGGTCCTCAGGAGAAAAATGGGTGAGTCTGCGCCTGTCATGGACAGCGCTGGAAACCCTGCCGGAGGGGCTGGTAACTCCGCTCTGAGCGCCTCCTGTGTCTCTACTGACCCACGTCCATATCCATTCAATGGCAGGATATTTTGAGGTTTAAAAAATAAAAATTCTTTAACTAAAGGCTTCATGGAGACATTCTGCCCCATCTTTCACAGAGCAGGGTCCACCTTTGTGGCAAGCAGTCAGTCATTTAGTCACTGCACCACCAAGGTTACTCTAGAGCTCAGTTCTGACCTTGACCACACTTTGACCCTGGCTTCACCTTAATCTTGACCTGTACCCTAAACCCTGGACGCTGTCCCTCTGCCCTTGCCTCATCTCTTCCGGGCCCTGCTGGTGGCCACCCCAGCCCTGCTCTCAAAGCCCTGGGGGCCCCGGTCCTGACGGGGGTGGGGGGCGGGCGCACCTTCACGTCAATGCCGCCGTGCGAGCGCTGGTGCAGCGCCTGGAACGGGTAGGAGCCATTGGCGGGGTTGAGGTCGGAGCGGGCCGAGATGGCGTTCTCTGCATTCGGATGGGGCGTGCAGGCTTTGCACCACGACAGGGGATCGTGCAGGAAGTCATTGTACCTAGAGAGACGGGAGTTGGGGGCCATCGGGGGTCATCCTGGGCCTCCCTGTAGCACCCCCTCCTTCTGCTGCCCCTTCTCCATGTCTGGGGTCCTGGTGCCTGGCTCCTGTTCAGTACGTTTCCTCTCCCGAGCATTCCTTACCCTCCTTGTTCCCTAAACCGTTCATCCCAACTGCCTCTGACCCCCCTTCTGCCAAGGAGAGACCCTAACTCCATCCCGGAAACCATTCCAGGCCCCACCGGCCTCGGTGTGAACTCCAAGTTGCCTCCCAGGTGGTGGGGACCAGGCCCAGTGCCGCTTCCCCAAGCACGGCGGTCACCATCCGATGGCCAGTCTCCACGCTGCACCATGAGGTCAGGGACCCCTCCCACAGCTGTCTCGGAGGGTCCCCTGGTCGCCCACCGAACCCCCTGCTCCCAGGCCCAAGCTCCCCGCGCCAGCCCGTGCCCACCGCATGAGTTGGATCATGGAGTCCACGTCATGCACCATGGACTGGTTTCGGAGGAAGATCTGGGCCCGCGGGCTGCCGTTGTAGGAGAACCAGTCCCCGTACTGGGCCACTAGGGACTGCACTCCGCTGATGTTGAAGACAGTCTCAAAGGAGCTGTGGGGATGACACGGGTCACCTGGGAACCCTGGGTATACCTCGCCATGGTCAGGGAGGTCATCATGCCAGAGGATTCTCAGGGGACAACAATAGCCAGAAGGTGACCCTCAACCAGGGGGATTGACACAGTGACCACAGCAATGGGCTTGAGGGTGTTGGAGGACTGTGAGGACGGCACAGGACAGGACAGGGTTCAGACCCATTGTCACATGGTCATTATGAGACAGCCCCTAACAATGCCACCACTTGTAGTGGGTGGAGTGGCCAAGCTAGGGCTCTGGGGTCCAACAGCCATGGTTCAAACCCCAGATTCACCGTTCGATTTCTATGGAGCTTGAGAAAGTTGGGCAATCTTTCAGGGCCTCAGTTTTCTCATCTGTGAAATGGGTGAGCATTGGTAGCTACTGGGTAAGGTGAGCCTAAGACTCAGAAACAACATAGTGCATTTGATCAAAGAGGTGGGGTCCCAAGGACAAGTGGGGGCTGCTCACAGTTAACCAGATCCCACTGCAGGACTGTTACAGGGTCAGGACCTGCGCCCGCCACCCTGGCCACCCACAACGGGTGGTCACCTGGATGCCATGCAGCTGTATTCTGAAGGAGTTAGGCCTGTCTTGGCTGAGGAAGGGGTTGGACAGGGGCTGAGCATGGAACGAGGCAGGGTTAGGGCCAGAGGGGGCACTTACGGGATGTTGTAGCTGGCCCAGTAGGACTTCCGGTAGAGCTCCTCGGTCTTGTCAGCCACCACCACCATGCCCCTGGGGCGAAGATACAAGTCAGGGTGGGGAGGTCAGAGAAGGGACCTCGTTGGGCACTGCCTTGCTCAAGGACCTTCGATGGCTCCCCACTGCCATGAGGGTTGGACGATGCCTTGACTCTTCAGTCTAATGCCATGGCCCTGCGTAGTCAGGGCTTGCCCTCTCTTCCAGCCCTTCCTGAAGGTTCTGGCACCTTCGCCGAGGCAGGCCACGCTGGCTGGGGCACCCTGCACCCCTCCCTTGGGTTCTCAGTACTCACGGGATCTGCTCTAGGATGGTGAGCACTTTGCTCCCGGGACTGGGCTCGCCGGGGACAAACGCCTTGTAGTCCACGATCATCCACTGGTTGTTGTACCTGCCGTGCCCAAGGAGAGAGAGGTCTCAACAGAGCTGGGGACCACTGTCCTGGCCTCCTCTGTGCCCAGTACTCCACATGGCCCAGAATCATGGGACGGGGAGAAGGGGGAGCCTGGGGGTATCTGGCCATCAGAGAGTCGTGCTAACGCTGCAGCTTGACCAGACTTCCAGAAACCCCTCTCGTGCCATGCTGCTCACCTGATCCAGAACAGTGTATGGCTCCCTAGTGCTTATCAGAACAAAGGCCCATTCCTCTGCCTGGTGTTCTAAGACATACCCTGCCCAGTCCCTATCTCTCTCACCACGTCCCCCTCCTCGGACAGCTCACCCCTATGACCCAGAGCCCTCCAACTCCAAGTTCCCCTGCCATGCCCCCTCCAGTAGGCCTCTCCCTGGGCGAAGGCACAGAGGGAGGAGGGCAAATCGTTCCCTCGCCAGGGAGTAAATGAAGGAGGGGTCTCAGGATACAGTGGGGTCCGAGAGAGGTGGGGAAGGGTCTGAGTATTAACAGGGGGCAGAGTGCCTTTCTTTTTTTTTTTACAGAGATTTTGGATTTCCATTCATTCATTGCTGCACTTCTCTCCCCGCCCAGCAGAGTGCCTTTCTTAAGGAGCCCTGGTGGCGTAGGGGTTAAGCTCTCAGTGACTAACCAATAGGTTAGTGGTTCAAACCCGCTCCAGGGGAGAAGACAAGTGTAATCCTTACAGAACGGGATGGTGCTGCTCTGCTGTACAGGCCCGCACTTGGACTGGATTGGGATCAACTAGATGACAACAGGCTTCGTATTCTGGCCCCCTTTCCCGGCGGTCGGGGAGAGGGGTGCGGCGCCGGATGCCCACTCACGTGCCGCTGTTGTACTTCTTGAAGACGTCGGCCCAGGCGGCCCCATCGGAGGCCATGCGGTTGGCCACGATGTTGCGCACCCACTCGAGCACGCTGCCCTTGGGCTGCACGTACTTCCACAGCGTCGGGTTGTTGTTGCCGATGGTGGTCTCCAGGGTCACCTGCCGGAGGGCAGAAGGGGGCACTGCACTGAAGGGCTGCTGCCACCAGGTGGCACACTGCACAGTTAACAGTTGAAAAAAAGCCCACGCCCCAACTGGGGAGCTCTGGTGGCTTAGTGGTGAGGAAACGCGTTGCCGATGCAAAGGCACGTGGTTCAAATCCACCAGCTGCTCCGTGGGACAAAGATGGGCAATCTTTCCCTTGCAATTAACTGCCTCTGAAAACCCACAGGAGGGTCAGCTAGTTGATAGTTACTTGATAGTTGACAGCAGCTCACCATTATTAACCCATTACCTCACTGGGGAGTAAATCCTATGCTCACCTCAAAAAAAAAAAGGAAGAAATGGGAAAAGAGGGCAAGAGAGGCAGAGGGGCCTCCCCTGCCGGGGGCGTGGGCAGCTCTCTGAAGAGGGTCTTTCTCAGAGCGCTGTTTTCCTCTTCCTCAACGGTTGCCCTAGCGATCGCGGCCCGCCGCCTTGGCTGGGGTGCTGGGGGACAGATTTCTAAACGAGCTTGGACCGCAGCCAGGAGAAGAGACTAAAAAACAACACCCGGTAAACAACATGTATTCAGAACCCCGGAGCAGGGGAGACAGGCTGTGTGGCCGGCAGGAGGGAGGGCAAGGTCGCTGTGAGGGGCCCGCTTTGTCTTCAACTCGCAGAAACACTAGGAGACATTCCAGCGGGGTGGTCAAGGTCAAGGGCCTTTCCAAAAGTCTCCTAGACCAGCCATTTCTAAGGCGTTGTGTCACATGTACAGCGTCTCAGGCCACTTCTTAGGTGTAAGGGGGGGGCCAGGCATGGAACCTGGGGGTCTACATCACAGCAAGTCCTCCTTAGGGGGGTCTAAGCCTCCACCAGGAGAAGAACCAGCTCGGGCCAGACGCAGCAGAGCGGGGTGCAGGCTGCTTCCTCCGGTCCCAGAGCCCAGCACAAGGCGGAGGCTGGGTCTGATGGAAACGAATGCTGTGGGAACCAGACCCAGGATGAAGGGGCCTGAGGAAGACTCACCAGCCCGCTGCTGAGGACGTAGAAGTCGTCACAGGAGAAGATGGTGCCAGGGTAGGATGAGAAGACCAGATTGTTGCTGGGAACCAGCGGGGAGTCCTCTGTGGGGAGAGTGGGGTGGAGGCAGGGGATAGGCTGGTCAGCTGGGAGGTTCCCACTGGGGGTCCTGCCCTGCCTTGTCCTTTAGCTTAGCAGGCCATCTGACACACAGCAAGGTGTGTGCCCATCCATGTTCCCCACATCCTCTTGGGCAACTGCCCCCCATCAGGAGGCTGGCAAGGCTCCCCCAGAGGCCAGCCTGTATCTGGTCCCGGCTTCACCCAAGGCCACCTGTATCTGATCCCGGTTCCACCTGAGGCCAGCCTGTATCTGGCCCCGGCCCCGCCCGAGGCCACCCTGTATTTAGTCCCGGGAGCGAGCAGGGCTCTACCCTCAGAGACCCCTCTGGAAACCAGCAGACCACGTCATGCCTGGTCTACACCCAGCTGCTGAAGTTGTGGGGCACTGGCTCTATCTGGGGTCCTTGCCTCTCCCTGGGTATCCTTGCCACAGTCCTACTGGGAGCAGGACACCCTGAGGGCAGTGCACCGTCCTTGGGCATCTAGGCTCGGCAGCAACTGTCTCTCCTCGCTAACCATTGCCACCCAGGTGCCCTGCCTCCATGCAACCCGTGGACTGGCAAAGCCAAGCCAGCCAGGCAGGCTGCCCAGGCACCTGTGCGGCCAGCAGAAACTCCACCCAGGCTGGGTGGCCCACCCTCCACACCAGGAGCAGTGCTGGACTTAGCCTGGCTCCCAGCTTTGGGCCTCAGCCAGCTTTTAAACGTGCAGAAACTCTGACCTGACGGGGCACCTACCCCCAGACTCCTGCTGGACCAGCAGACAAACCCTCCCAGACCAGACACCGGGCCTCTACCCACCAATCAGGGGCCCAGCCCACGCTCCTCCAACTCCCTCCCTTTTCTCTCTCATGTTTCCTTTTCCATTGTTTTATGGATTTTCCTTTCTATTTTCTGCTCTTGTGGGGTTCTGGCGTTACTGGCTTCCCCCCACCATTTCTTCCATCTTCTCTCTAGCTTTCCCCCCTCCCTTACCAGAATGTTTCCCCCCTCTCCCTCTCCCGTGTCCTATTGGGACTCTCATTCCTTTTGTATCCCTCTCTATTTTGGTCACTCTAGTTTCCTACATCATCCAAGCTACTATTTTGTTTGCTGAGTATTTTGTTGTTGTTGTTGTTCGGTTTGGTTTTCCTTGTTGGTCCCACCTGGCAGCAGACAGCAACAGGACCCTTGGGTCTAAATGATCGATTTAGCCAAGTGGCAGGGTACAAGATCAACGTATAAAAATCAGTAGAAAGGAAGCTCTGGTGGCCTAGTGGCAAGAAGCTGCCCTGCAATCCCAAAGGCGCATGGTTCAAATCCACCAGATGCTCCGCTGGAGAAGGAGGGGCAACCTCCTACTGTGCCTGTTGAATCCGATTCGATGGTACACAACAGGAAAAGGAGGGGAAAAAAATCAGTAGAATTCCTCTAGTAACAACAAGAACAATGAAAAGGAAATGTGGAAAACCATGTGATTTACAACGATATCGTGTCTTGTCAAGTCGGATCCAACTCATAGTGGACACTCCAGTGAGTTTTCGGAGGCAGTAAATCACATGGGAGGAGGCTGGCTCCTTTCACCATGGAACAGCTGGTGGATATGAACTGTGCGCCTTCGGGCTGACAGTGCAGTGCCTTACCACTAGACCACCAGAGATCCCTAGTGTAGCTATTACAAATGCCACTGTTTTCCTCACTGGCCTGTGTGTCCCGGGAGCACGCAGGAACGCCCAGCCGCCTGGCTCCCGCTCCCCATCCCGCACACTCACCCTGCGGGCCTTGGTGGAACTGGAAAGAGTACTTCTTGATCATACGAAGCATGTGCTGGTAGGAGTTCCAGGTGTTGTGGGCGACCAGGAGGTCATGCTGGCCGGGCAGCAGCTTGATGAGGGCGGAGCAGGAACCCGAGCCCAGCACACGGTTGGTCGTGGTCTTATTCAGGGCCGGCTCCAGGTCTTCCAGGTCCCCAGAGAGCTGCAGCAGGCTGTGGGGGACCGAGGCAGCAGGGGTTACTGCCTCTGCGCTGGGTACTGCTACTGCACCCATTTCACAGAGGAGGAAGCTGAGGCTCAGGGAGGTTCACTGGCCCGTCTGAGGCTGTACAGCCAGCAGGTGGCAGGGCAGGTACTGGAGAACGGGTCTGTGCGAGAGTGAGGTGTGCGGCTCGTTCCCCAACCCTGTCAACTCTTTGGATGGTACTTACAGGAATCCCAAGGGTTTGATGGTGAATCTCCCAGTTGGGAAGTTCACGTGGCCTCCATAGCTGTCCTCCAGGCCTTTCAGCTGCAGGAGGGTCAGCCGTACCTGGGGGAGGGCAGGGGGAGGGTGAGTCCTCTTCTCTGGGCTCATACTTTCTCTTTCAACAGGAGGGGCTTGGGACTGAGGGGGTCCTGAGGAAGCAGGAGAGGCCAGGCTTAGGCTCCCAGCTCCAGAAATTCTGATTTCATTAAATAATAACCCCTCCCCATGCCAATCATTAAACCAGCAACCCAAGATTACTTCAGAGACCAGTGCAGGAACCACCTCCTCCAGGAAGTCTCCCGGTTGGTCCTGGTCACCTGCAGACAGTTCCCTGCTCTGAGTCTTATGACTATCACCTCAGCACACTAGTCTCATGTGGCTGGTTTCTGTCCTTTCACTGCTCTGTCCTCAACAACCTTGGCCTGTGCTGGGCATACATCAGGGGCTTAGCATCTGTAGGATGGGTGGGTGGATGGATGGATGGATGGATGGCCAGACAGACAGACAAACAGCAAGGGGATAAGCAAATGGGTAAACGGATGGGTGGACTGAACAAACAGACAGATGAATAAATGAACAGACAGCTGGAGAGATGAATGCAAGGGCGAGTAGATAGATGGATAAATGGATGGATGGAATAACATGGAGAGATGGACAGAGGAATAAACAGAGATGGGCAGATGAATGGATGGGCAGACGAAAGGACAAACGGATGGATGGATGGATGGATGGACGAACGGATGGCTGGATGGATGGATGGAGAGACAGGCAGGATGGATAACAGGTGGCTAGAAGGCTAAGGTAAACAGAAGGGAAGGATGCAGGGCACTGGCCAATGAGGCTGAATGGACGAGGCGAGGACAGAGGTCAGTCAGGTGACTGGAATGGATGGACAAGGCAGCATCATAAATCTTCACAGTTATTCAGCATGCACCTGTTGTGTGTGGAACTCACAGTTGAACTGACAGGTCTGACTCCGGACAAGTCACTGTAGTGCCCACTTCAGCGCTACAGAGTCCAAGGACAGGGTGCTGGAGGGCAGAGGAGGCGTCTGGGCGGGAAGGAACAGCGTGTTGAGAAGCAACAGTTCAAGGAACTGAAAGGAGGCTGGGGAGTGGGGGCCGGAGCACAGGGAGCAAAGACGGCGGTGGGAGGTGGGGCTGGGGGCCCCGAGACCACGCGATGGGGCAGGGCTTCATCACGAGGGCACCGGACAGCGAGATCCAGGAGGAGAGGCGATGGGATGTGATGGAGCAACAGACGGGTGGGCTGAGGGATGCCAGCACGGCTGGGAAGCGGGCGGGGCCCGAGAGCAGATGGGCTGCTTGGAGAGACGGCTGAGCAGGCGGATGGGAGGACAGATACACAGACAGGCGGACCGTGGACAAGAGGATGGGCAGGCAACCACACGAGTTGGGCCAACAGGGTGGGTGAGCGGATGATGCAACAGTTGGGCCAAGATGGGCAGGTGGTGACAGATGTGCAGATGAGGAGGAGAGTGAAATATGAAGACACCGGCGGGGGGACAGACAGGGCTGTGAGCGGGCTGTGGAGGAACAGACGATGGGCGGGTGGACAGTGAATGAGCGGGTGGGTGAGGAAGTGCATCCGCGGGTGGACAGGTGGCCGGGTCACATGGCAGATCCGTAGACAGGTAGATGGGGGGACAAGTGGGTGGACGAGTAGAAGATCCTACTTAGTAAGAGAATGAACAGGGCCTCAGGTGGACCAAGGGGAATTCCACTGCCGGGAACGAACGAAGCGAAGTCGCTCTGAGTGAGGTGGAGGTGCTGACAGACACCGACGGCCAGTCTTCAGATACAACCTGTCACGTGCATGACACGCTGAAACGCTTGGGATCATTCAGAGACTCCATAAATAACTGCCCTCAGCTTGGGCTGACCTGTCCAGCTGCCCAGCGGCAGAACACTCGGAGTCCGCGCCATGATTTCATCACTCACCCAAGGACGGGACAAGGACACTTGGGCACCCCCGGCTGCCTGGCCTGCAGATCTCTCCCTTTCCTCACTGTCTCTTACTCAGCGACCTCACCCTCTCTGGGCACTGAGTGGCTTCCTCTGTACACAAAGCAAGTGGTGTGCTAACAGTGAGCTGTGGGTCTGTCTCTGGCAACAGGACAGCTAAGACGCCATCAGGGAGGTGGAGAGATGGATGCACAGATGGACACGGAGCAGATGAGTGAGAGACAGGCTGGAGGAAAAGGGCTGGAGATAACAATGGGCGCAGGTGACCGGGCAGCTGGGCAGGTCACAGGGCCAGCCAGCTGGACCGTCAGGAGCCACGACCATGGTGGCAGCCCCAAGCCCCTCACCCCCACCCTGAGCGTGGCAGCCACAGCTACCTGGTGCCAGTAAGCCGAGTCTCTGTTCAGGTCTATCTCCTCCTGCATCCACTCCAGGTTGGTCTCCAGGAAGTGCTTGAGCTTCTCGCAGTAGCCGGCCTCATACTCAAAGGGGCCGCAGTAGTTCACCACCGTGTTCATCCAGTGCATGTAGATGAGCTGTGGGGGGTGACAGGCTGGGTGAGGGCCAGGGCTGGGGGGGTGGGCTCCATCCCCAGACAGGCTCAAGGCCCCTAAGCCCATTTGGGGTCCTCCCCTGGACCCTCCTCCTCATCTTCCTCTTACCCCAACGAGAACCCAACATCTCTGCGAGTTTCCCTCTACTCAAAGCCATCAGAGTTCAAGGTCTGAACTGGATGAAACTTCCCCGGCTACCAGAGATTCCATCCATACGTGTATCCAGTCCATCTGCTCGTTCTTTTGAGTACCTGACAGGTGCCAGAGGCCGTTCAAAGTACTGAGGTCACATCAAGGAACACAAGAACATCCTCCTGATGGGCTTCAATTAAGCCTCTCGGGAGTCCTCACCTCCTTCCCTGCCCGGAGGCCCTGTGACTGGGCTAGCTGGTAAAGAGCATGGCGCCCCAACCACACGAATGAGGAGAAACTCTCCACATGAATAAAGTAAACCCCACCATACGCGGGAGCCCCAGCCCCAGCAGCCAAGTCCAAGAGCGCTCCCAGCTCTCCAGCCGCCGGCAGAGTATCCGTGGGCCCAGCAAGACCAGCCAAGCGGGGCTCAGACCAACATAAGCGCCCGCAGGACAGAAGTGCTGATCACTTAGATGCACGGGGAGTGGTCAGGGGCTCACACCTACCACTCAGCAAACACTCTGCCCACGGACACGCAAACTCCGTGAGGAAGATGCAGATGGTCAGCTGAGGAAATGGACACAGAGAAGTGACCGCCCCCAGAGGACCCAAGGAGGACTGACACTGCTGAGGCCTGACGTCAAGTGAGGATGAGGGGCTGTAATTTCCCCAACACGGAGCTCACAGGGTCAAAGCCGTGGGTTACCCCCGGAATACACCTCCTACCCCGTGGGCAATCTTTATCATTACACCACCTAGTGGAAAATGGCGCTCTGACAGATCGGTGGTCAGGAGCTGTGCTGCCAACCCAAAGGTACGTGGTTCAAACCCACCAGCTGCTCCGTGGGAGAAGGATGGGCAATCTCCCGCACAACTGATGACCTCTGAAAACCTATGGATGGTCAGCTATGACCCGGGTCCAACGCAACAACACGTAACAACAATTGAAAATATATTACTAGGGAGCTCTGGTGGCCTAGTGGCAGGAAGCTGCACTGCAATCCCAGAGGTGTGCAGTTCGAATCCACCAGAGGCTCTGCTGGAGAAGGAGGGACAATTTCCTCCTGTACCAGTCAGATCCAATTTGACAGTACACACACACACAATACAATTTAAAAAAAGAAAGAAAGAAAATATGTTATTAGAGGGACTTCCGGGGGGTGGCGAGTGAAGCAGCCCAGCAAGCCTGGCCCTCTCCTGTAAGAAACGATTGTCTTTTCTATGGGCAGACCTCGGTGATTTTAGGGGTTCAGTTCTAAGCCATCATAACAAAGTGAATACTGAATAAAGCAAGGCACAAGCATTTTTTGTTTGTTTTCCAGTGAAAAGAGAAGCTATGTTTTGGGGTTTTTTTAAATTTTTTAATTTTTTTTAATTTTATTATTTTGTGTGTGTGTACCGTCAAACTGGATCTGACTGGTACAGGAGGAGATGGCCCCTCCTTCTCCGGCAGAGCACCTGCTGGATTCGAACCGCATATCTCTGGGATTGCAGTGCAGTTTCTTGCCACTCGGCCACCAGAGCTCCCCTGAGAAACTATGTTTGTTTACACTCGACTGTAGGTTGTCTGTCTGTCATCCACACACACAAACAGTGGACAACTGACCACCCTCAGTACACCCACACTGTCCTCATTTTTCCCCTCATGCAGGGATGTCCGTGGCTCAGTTCTGCGTCCTGGCCTGGACTGCGCTGGTCCTGGATGTAGTGTGCTAAAGGAGTGGTGGTGGACTGGAGCAAAATGTGTCGGCCTGCTAACCAAAAGGTCAGTGGTTCGAATCCACTAGCAGCTGGGAATCGACTTATTATCAGTAGGCTGGGCTGGCGGTCTAGTAAGCATGCAACATTAGAAAAATGTTTGAAATATTGTGAGAAAGGTCAAAATGTGACACAGAGACACAGTGACGCGGTGAGCACAGGCTGGGAGAAAAATGGCATGACAGATTCCCTCAATGCAGGGTTGCTGAAACCTTTAATTTGTGAAAAATATCTGTCTGTGAGACATAACAAAATGAGGGCTACCTGTTCAGCTATCAGTTGATTCATAATGAAATTTTTTTATTATTATTATTTTGTGTGTGTGTACCATCAAATCAGATCTGACTGGTACAGGAGGAGATTGTCCCTCCTTCTCCAGCAGAGCATCTGGTGGATTCGAACCACACGCCTCTGCGATTGCAGTGCAGCTTCTTGCCACTAGGCTACCAGAGCTCCTGATTCATAACAAAACTTTTAAAGACAAACATTGTGAGGGGTTTCTTCCTAAGCAAGTGGAGAGGCCAAGGCCGAGCCCACCCTGCAGACACTGGCCCGCTCTGGGGAGCCCCGCTGGTGGTGGCCCCTTCCCGTTGCACCCCTTACCTCCTTGGACACAGCGGCCTCCACCATGCCTGCTGCGTAGGCCTGCAGGCTGTCATTGTAGCGGCCACTTGTGCCCACCTCCAGAAAGGCCCACCTGGAGGGGAAAGACATCGGTCAGTGAGAGGGACACTCACAAAGCCGGCGCCCAGGTGCACACCAACAGTGCAGTGCTGGGCGGCGGTTCACATGACTGACTGTCTGCTCGTTGATTTTCAAGTGCTGGTCAGTTGAAAACCCTCGAAGCAGAACTGTTAAGTCAAAGTGCACCCACATTTTCCATCTTCACAGACATCATCAAACAGTCCCTCCAAAAAGTTGTAGCCACCTATATGTCCATTTGACTTCACTCAGACATGCCTTGGAATAAAGGCCTGGCGTTCCAGTTCTGAACAGCCAGCCAGTGGCAACCCCATGGAGCACAAGTGTACCACACTGTGCATGAACTTGAATCAACCTGACAGCAGCTGGCCTGGCTGGAACAGGTGGGGAGGGCTCCCTCTGTGCCAGGACATTGATGTCTGTCACTTCCACACGGAATGCTCTCTCCACAAGGCGGGTCGACCACATCCACCCAACAGAGGAGCAAGAAGCCAGAGCCTAGATTTGCACAACTGCACACGTGACCGGCTGGACCCTTCCCCTCCCTGTGCCCACGCCTCCAGCTCTTTCTGCCCCCGGCCAAGCGCCCTCTCCGGCCCTTGGCTTTGGCAAATGAAAGAGAGTCCTGGTGCAACTGCAATTGGGGCAGCTGGCTGCCAACCAAAAGGTCAGCAGGTTGGAACCCTTCAGCCGCTGTGAGGAACAAAGACGTGGCAGCCCGCATCTGTAATTACAGCTCTGGGAACTCGACGGGGAAGTTCTATTCTGCGCTGTGTGGTCAGGAAGAGTCAGGACCAGCTCGGTGACAGTGGGTTTGCCTTTTTGGTGTGGGCAATGGATTGTGGGTGAAAGTGACAACGTGTCCACTCAAGGATGAACCTCTGGGTGCCTCCTGTTTCTAACTGCCCACTTGTGTCTCTGCCATCGTCGCGACAACAGTCCCGGGTGGCACGCTGGTCCTTGGGGTACGAGGCTCCAGGTCCTCAGAGCAGCCGGATGCAGGAGCATCCAGGGGCGTTAGGCCCTTGGGTTGGGGATGCTCTGTCAACAGCTCTGTCAAACTGTTGCCCGGTCACTCATTGTCACGGTCACTCATTGTCACGGTCACTCATTGTCACGGAGCTGGCGTGGTAAGTCAGCAGCACTCAGCTGGGTTTCCGAGGCTGTGAGATCAAAGTGGAAGGATCCTGCCCACAGTTTCTCCCTTGGTGGGTCTGAGTCAACAAAGCCGTCCTGGCCTTTGGGTCAGCAGCACCACACCCTGCGGGCTACCCCACAAGAGCTCTTCCTGTTGTTGCCAAAGGTCATGCTGCTGGCAGAGGGCGGAGCTGCCCCTACCCTGCCTGTTCTGGGAAGACCATGCTGTGGACCCCTGGCACTTAGCTAAGTTGTCTGCAAACTCCAGCTGAAATAACAAGCCATTTCTGACCTGAATCACTGCAGCTGCCCTTGCTGTGTGTGTGTGTGGGGGGGGGGGCTCCAGCAAACAGCTTCTAGACTGGCAAGCTGCTTTGTGAAGTGGGGGGCTGGACAAACAGCTTCTAGACATCCATGCTGCTGTGTTGATTAGCACCTCTGAGACACCCTACACCCCCAAAACCAAACTCACTGACATCAAGTCATTCTGACTCACAGAGACTTGGGGAGCAGCAGGGAACTGCCCAGAGGGTTTCTAAGACTTTCATCTTTATGGAAACAGACTGCCCCCCATCTTTGTCCTGCAGCATGGCCAGTGGGTTCGAACAACCTATTTTTTTGTTAGGAGCCAAGCGCTTTATTTGTCTGCTCCATTTGTCTGGTCCTAAAATAACTGCTCTTTCATGAGTTCAAAACTGGCGGGAGTTGAAAATGAGTGTTCTAATGTGCTTTTCACACACGTTGTCGTTGGTGCCACCGAGTCTCAGAACCGACCCATAGCTGACCCTCCAGCAGGTTTTCAGAGGCAGTAAATCACACAGGAGGAGATGGCCCATCTTTCTCCAATGGAGCAGATGGTGGTTTTGAACTGCATGCCACTAGGGGACCAGAGCATCCTTCTCATGCACAAGTTGGACCCCCCCCCAAAAAAAACCAGTAAAAGTTGGCAGCACTTTAACTGTTTGTCCAGTTTTTACTTTCTTGCTGTAAAGTCTTCCTATCATGTGATCTTGATAGCTAAGCCAGGGGCAGTTAACCAGCAGATCATGACTCATTTGGGCTCAAAACAAACCAAACCTGTTACCATCAAGTCAAATCAACTGATGGCGCCCCCAGGTGTCAGAGAGCAGAGTGCAGCTCCACCAGGTTCCCTGGCTGAAGTAATTTCAAAAGATTTCCAGGCCTTCCTTCTGCATTGCTGCTGGAGGTTAGAACAGCTAACTTCTCGGTTAGCGGCCAAGCACAAACAATTGGCACCCAGTGAATAAAACCAAGAGAGAACAAACAAATAACGTGAGATTATTAGCAGTAATCTCAAGATTATCGACCGAATCTGGAGGACGAGGAAGAACCCTGAGTCCAGGTAAACCAAGAAGTTAAATCTTTGGCTGACATCATTTCACATCCATGGCAGAAGCGGTCAAAAAAGCAAAAGACAAGTTGTATTGGGCAAATCTGCTGATCAAGGACTTTTTCAAAGTGCTAAAGAGCAAGACTGTCACTATAAAGACTAAGGTGTGCCTGGTACAAGCAGTGATCTTTTCAATGGTTTCCCATGTATGTGAAAGTTAGATGAGACTATGGAAGGCAAAAAAAGGATTGATGCCACTGAATCATGGCGTTTGCTAAGCACATGGCAGATCCCATGGACTGCCAGAAAAACCAACATATCCATCTTGGAGGAAATGAAATCAAGGTGCTCCTTAGAGCCAACGGTGAAACTTCATCTCACATACTTTGGGCATGGTTCTTCTTGAGAAAAGACATCATGCTGGGAAAAGTAAAAGGTCGGTGAAAGAGAGTAAGACCTTCAAGGAGACAGACTGACACAGAACCGGCAACAAGCCCATAATGAGCATGGCTGAGATTACGGGGATGGCGTGTGACAGAGCAAGGTTTTGATCTGTCATTAACAGGAGGGCAGTGAGTCAGAGACATAGGATTCAATGGCACCACCACCAACAAGGTCCTCAAAAGATACTGCGTTACCACTATGACCAAAGCCTCCCTTAGTTAGGAATCAGGGCACTCCAGATGTCTATCTCTCCTCATACCTCTGAGTTCTTGGGAGGCCACTGCTGAAGGCCTCAGTTTTCCTGCCTATAAAATGGGACTCCAGTTATGATTTTCCTCCCTCTCCATCATAGACTCAAATGCTCAAAAGCTCAAAGGGGAAAGGACACGGAAATGAAGGGAGTATGAGACTAGACAGGAAAGAGTCCATAATCTGAGTTGTTGTTGTTGTTATGTGCCGTAGAGTCGCTTGCGACTCATAGCGACCCTATGTACAACAGCCCTAAACTCCGCTCTGTCCTGTGCCAATCGCACTGTCTCTGACACTCCCATCCCGATTACCCCAGTCACTGAATCAATCCACCTCATAGAGGGCCTTCCCCTCCTGCGCTGTCCCTCCACCCTCCCAAGCATGACGTCCTTCTCCAAGGACCTGTCTCTCCTCACAACATGCCCAAAGTATGTTAGACAGAGCCTCAGAATCCTTGCCTCCAAGGAGCCACCCGGTTTAACCCTCTCCAGGACAAATCTATTTGTTTTCCTAGCAGTCCATGGTATTCTCAATACTCTTCTCCAGCACCACAGCTCAAAGGCATCAGTTCTCCTTCTATCCTCCTTGGTCATTGTCCAACTCTCTGATGCATAACAGGAGATTGCGAAGACTATGGCCTGTATCAGACGCACCTTAGTCTCCAGAGAGACACCACTGCTCTTCAGCACTTTGGAGAGGTCCCTAACATAATCTGAGATGAGAGCAAAAAGACCTGGCTTTCCCTCTCGGGCCTCAGTTTCTCCAACTATAAACAGCTGCACCTTTCTTTTTCATCCAGTCTTTCTTCTGGTAAATAAAGAGTGATGTGTTCTGTGGTTCAACTGAATTTCCAGGATGTTGTGGCCTGCTTTTAGGAGAGGAAGTAGCCAGAGAAGTGAAGTGATTTGCCTGAGATCACACAGCAGTGGGGCTGACCCTGAAATCCAAGGATTCTGGCTGGTCAGCCAGCACAATGAGACCAACTAGGGCTCAGACCCCTTCCTATGCTTGGCATCACCCCTGTGCCCCTCTTATCTGTCATCCTAACAGAGGGCAGTCATGTCCCTTTGCTCTGCTACCCAGAACTGAAAACATGTGTGAGTCAGCAGAGAATGGGTCATCAGATCCCAGTCAGGGCCACCCCTGAAGCCAGCCACAGAGCTCTGTTCCCTCCAGAATGGCCAGACCACACTGTGGCTCTTCTCTCTGGAAGCCTTCCCAAAATTACTCAGGCACTCCTGTGTCCACAAGCACATCTCAAGCCACCTATCTGACACTCCCTCAATGCCTCAAACACCAGAATAAGGATGTCCTCTATATTCTGGGTCTCCTCAACACTTACGGGGAAGCAAGGCATGCCAGCAAAATGGGCAGAGGCTGCAGTATCAGGGGGCCATGTCTGTGAAGGAGGCAAGGGACACTAGACATGCGCAGGATGGAATAGGAGATGTCAGCTTTCCTAAGATTCCCACACAGCCTGGACCCAGAGCCGGCGTTGTGCTGCCCTCCCCATCTCCCACTGACCTATGTGTCCCTTCTGGTACTGTCACCCCAGTGAACAGGGACCCCAGCTCTGTCTACAGCCTGATGGGATCTACTTCAACCCTTCTAGAAGTTCTGAGGGCTCCCCAATGCCTCCCTGCCAGAGCACACCCTCCAAGTCTGAGCCACAGAGCACCTGACCCAGAAGGGGTACAGCAGCTCGGAGGCGGGAAATTAATCTCACTGGGCAGCAGAATTTCACTCCAGGATGGAGACAAGAACCCCATGAGATTAATGATGCGGCCTTAGCCCCCTCATCAGTGGCCTAGCCCAGAGAGAGGTGTAGTATCCTCAGAGGTGGGGAGAAGGCTTCCAGGGGTCAGCGAGACTTTCACCAAGAAAAGATCTGGCCCCAGAAATACCTACACCTGCGGCCCAGGTCATGGGCCGAGCGCCCACGCACTCCTTTCTCCGGTCGGCCCCGCGCTAGGTAAGGCCAACCCTTACCCGGTCTCGCGGATGGCGTTGGTGAGGTTGGCCCAAGCCACCGCGTCCGGGTGACGGCCGTCCACCAGGCGCAGCTGACCGGTCGCGGGGTCCAGGAGCACCGAGAGATTACGGAAGGTGGGTGGTGTCGGCCCTTCGCGTCCCCAGCGGTTCTTCAAAGGCGGGATCGCGCCTGTGGGGCCGCTCTGGAACACGCCGACCAGCAGGGCCAGCACCAGAGCCGGCGCCAGCGCCCGCGGCAGTGCCCGGGCCAGGCGGCCGCCGGGGCAGCTGGACATCGAGTCCACCATGACAGCTCGCGGCGCGCCAGGCGGCTCACGTGACTACGCTCCGCCGAGTGGGCGGGCCCGAGGCGGTGAGTGGGCGGGGTCTGGGCGGGGTTTGCGTTCCGGGGTGTGGCTTATGGCGTTACGCGCGGACGTGGGCGGGGCGGGTGCCGAGAAGGCCGGGCTCGGGGAAAGGGGCGGGGCATAGGCCGAGCCTTTCCGGGGTGGGAGTGGCCTAGGGAGAGACCTAAGGGGCGGGCTCCGCCTTAAAGGACCAGCAACCTCATTCCGCCTACACACACCTGCATTTTTCCCTACCGCCCCAAAATGGCTACAAGGATAGAAAAATTAGGAGTTCTAGTGACTTGTTGGTAAGGAGTTGCACTGCCAACCCAAAGGCATGCAGTTTGAATCCACCAGATGCTCCACCGGAGAAAGATGGTCAATCTCCTCCCTTGCGATTTACAGCCTCTGAAAACCTGCTTGAAGGCCATCTATGATGAGTCCCTGAGTTCCAACTCGATGACACATAAAAACATTTCATCCATTACTAGTATTTTGTCCCAGTTGTCTAATCTTTAATACATAATTTTGTGGAACTGTTTGAGAATCACTTAAACACATTTTAATATTGTTTTGTTAGGTGTCTTCCACTGAGTTCAACTCATAATGACCTGATTCTGCACCATCATCCCACGCCCTGCCAGCCTTAGAACCACTGTGGTGGGGAATGCTGGGCTGTAGTCCAGAGTATCTCACGATGATAACTAAAAGGTACACTTCTAAAAGTTCAAATCCACCAACTGCTGCAGGGGAGAAAGACGTGCAGTCTCTCCCTGTTAGGTTTTTAGTCTCAGGAAGCCAAGGAGGGTCTCGACCACTGTAAACTGAAGCCCACTGCTGCAGTCATTGTGGGCTCCATCTCTTTGAGGGTCTTCCTATTTTTTCAGTAACCTACGTTTCCAAGTACAAAGTCCCTCTGTAAAGACTGGTTCCCCCTGATGACATAAGCAAAGTAGGTGAGACAGGTTTCACCATCCTTGCCTCTAAGAAGCACTCTCATTGCACTACCTCCAAGACAGGTTTTGTTTGTTCCTTGGCAGTCCATGGGATATGCAGTCCTCTTTGACAACACAATTCAAAGACATCAATTCTTCTTTTTCATTCAATGTCCAACTTTCCCATTAATATGAAACAATGGAAAATACCATGTCTGTGTCAGAGACACTTTAGTCTTTAAAGTGACATGCTATTGTGTACCGTAGAGTGGGGACTATCCCATAAAACCCCACAGTTTTATATATTGAAGGACAGCACAGACAGCAGGCTGATAGTTCAAGGGCTTCTAAAAAAGCACACATTGACATCAAGCTGATTCAGATGCATGGGAACCTTAGAGGACAGAGGAGAGCTGCCTCATACAGCTTCCAAGCCTGTAAATGATTACAGGAGCCGGTTGCCACATCTTTCTCCAACAGAGGTCACTAAGGTGTAAAAAAAATCTATTTCTTCACCTGGGTACCTGGGCATTAATTTTATTATTCTTTCTCTTTCCCCATCATCCCCTGCACAGACTGAGGTGTTGCTGTGTAAATACTTCAGTGACCAATGCATGATTTCCTTATTTATTTGCCGAGTTGGGAGACAACTGAGAAAATAAGAAATGTTATGGGTTAGGGAGAAGGTGTTTCCCATTGTTTCTCTTTAAACTGTGAAAATTACGTTATGCTCACTTTTGTATGTATAGGGTGGTGGTGGTGGTGGTGGTTATTGTTATGTGCCAAAGAGTTGCCTGTGACTCATAGCGACCCTGTGTATAATAGCCCTAAACCCTGCTCTATCCTGTGTTATTCAGTGACTGGGGTCATGAGTGTGCACACCTACATTCATGACCCCAGCCATTGAATCAATCCATCTCATGGAGGGTCTTCCTCTCCTGTGTTGTTCCTCCACCCTCCCAAACATGACGTTCCTCTCCAAGGACAGCTCCTTCCTTGCAACATGTCCAAAGTGTGAGATGAAGCTTCAGAATCCTTTCCTCCAAACCAAAGAGCAGCCTGGTTTAACCCTCTCTAGGACAAACCTGTTGGTTCTCCTAGCAGTTCATGGTATAGTCAATACTCTTCTCCAGCACCACAGCTCAATCATCCCTAGTCATTGTCCAGCTCACTGATGCATAGAAAGTAATTGCAAAGACTAGGACCTGGATCAGGCAGACCTCAATCTTCAGACTGACATCGTTGCTCTTCAGTACTTTGGAGAAGTCTCTGACAGCAGACTTTCCCAATGCAATTCATCTTTTAATTTCCTGGCTGTTGGTACGAAAACAGACTAGGAAGAAGTTGTGACCATCCACTTCGGAAACAGCAGGTCTTTGAAAACCCTATGTATAGGTAGTCCACAGTAAATCTTCCTCTATCATCCTCATTCATTGGTCAACTTTCGGATGCATAACAACTAAATGAAAAGAATGGTATTAAGGGAGCTCCAGTGGTCTAGTGGCAAGAAGCTGCACTGGCATCCCAGAGGTGGTGGTGGTGGTGGTTGTTATGTGCCATCGAGTCGTTTACAACTCATCGCGACCCTATGTACAACAGCCCTAAACCCTGCTCAATCCTGTGCCAATCTCATTGCCTCTGACACACCCATCCCGATTACCCCAGTCACTTAATCAATCCTCCTCATAGAGGGTCTTCCACTCCTGCACTGTCCCTCCACTCTACCAAGCATGATGTCCCTCTCCAAGGACTTGTCTCTCCTTACAACATGTCCAAAGTATGTCAGACGAAGCCTCAGAATCCTTGCCTCCAAGGAGTAGCCTGGTTTAACCTTCTCCAGGATGAGTCTGTTTGTTTTCTTGGCAGTCTAGGGTACATTCAATACTCTTCTGCAGCACCACAGCTCAAAGGCGTGAATTCTCCTTCTATCCTCCCTAGTCATTGTCCAATTCTCTGACGCATAACAAGTGATTGCAAAGACCATGGCCTGTATCAGGCGCACCTTAGTCTCCAGAGAGACACCCTTGCTCTTCAGTACTTTAGAAAGGGGTTCAAATCCACCAGATGCTCTGCTGGAGAAGGAGGGGCAATCTCCTCCTGTACTAGTCAGATCTGATTTGACGGTACATGCACAAAAAAATAAAATAAAATATTATTTTTTTAAAAAAGAGAGACTGAATGGTAGATATTGAATGCCCACTTTAAACCTGGATTGGTCATATGACTTTCCTTGACCAATAGACTGGCAACATGTTATCACGTGACTGCTGAGGTCCAATCTGAATTTACCATGTTGGCCGCTTTGCTCTGAAAAAGTTGGAAGGGAAGACTCTGTAAGTTGCTTGGCTGTCCAGTTGTCAACTCCTGAACCCTCTCAACGGACTCTGTCAGTGAAACCAGTAGACAAAGCGACTGGCCAATCTACAGAACCGTAAAAAATACTAGTGTTTTTTTTTTTAATAACCTTCAAAAACATGTTTATTCGTGCTATTTCCCTCATTTTGTTGTGGTTTTGTTTTCTAGTTGGCTTTTTTTTTTTAAGGGGAACTTAACCAACAAATACACACAGAACTGAAAAGAAGAGATACTACTTTAGAGGTTAGTGCCTACAAAGTCAAAAGGAGTAGAAATCTGTAGCCCCAGACACTGGACGCCGATATTGTAGGAAGCTGCAGGCAATAGGAGAAGGCGTCCTGCAGAGACGCGCGTCTCCAAACGCGCATGTGCATTGCACCCTCTTGCGGCACCTGGGGCTTTGCGAATCTGACAGCTGTCTTTAAAGAACACTATTTGGAAGGTTGAATTTTTCCTTTGATACATTTCTACTTAGCCTTTACTTATTTTGCACTTATAAACAAAGAATTCAAATTCTGGAGCACAGCATATTTGTTGAGAGTGTACAATCTGGAGTTAGAGTGTTCCAATTTCATTTGGATGTTTAATAATTGAGTCCTGATGGCCTGCTGGGTGAGGAGTTGTGCTGCCAACTTAAAGACGATGTTATGTGCCGTCGAGTCGCCTGCGACTCATAGCGACCCTGTGTTAAACAGCCCTCAATCCTGCTCTATCCTGTGCCAGTCTTACTGTCTCTGAACCTACCTCCATTACCCTAGTTACTAAATCAATCCTTCTCATTGAGGGTCTTCCTCTCCTGCGTTGTCCCTCCACCCTCCCAAGCATGACGTCCCTCTCCAAGGATTGATCCTTCCTTGCAGCATGTCCAAATCTACGGCTTGGGAGAAAAATGGATAATAATCTCTCAAGCGATTGTTTTACAGCCTCTGAAAAGCTGCAGGAGGGTCAGCTGTGAGTCAGTTGTGATTTGAGGGCGATGTGTGATGTGTGAGCTGTATTAGTTTAGGTCGTTTGCAAGTAGTACACTCCTTGGAGGCAAGGGAGGTAAGGCCTTGTCTCCGTCTCCGTCTCACATACTTTGGGCATGTTGTCAGGAGGAAAAGTCCTTGGAAAAGGACCTCATGCTTGGGAAAGTGGAGGGTCAGCAAAGGAGAGGAAGATCCTCAGGGAGCAGTATTGCAACAACGGGCAGGAGCACAGCAGAGGTGAGGATGATGCAGGATTGGGCAGGATGTTGATCTGTTGGGCAGAGGGTCACTATGAGTCAGAGTTAACTCGATTCTATTGTTACTGAACGCCGGGGGTTCTTTCCATAGTCAGTTGCTAATAAGACAAATGGATTGCAATATCCATAACCACTTTATTACAGATCTGTGGAGGACAGCGGGTTGGCCTCAAAGACTGCCTCTCAGGACTGGGAAAGATACCAGGCTTTTATACTAGGGTGAGACACCAACTTACTTAACAATAAACTTTTGTTAGTAAAATCAAAGAATTTCTATATCTGAAAGAAAACCATTCACACCCAGAGAACTCCCTTTCCTGGCAAACAGGCAGATTATGTTACAATTTACATATGATTGGGGAAAACCTTCAAAGAGATAATAGCTAATCTAGGAGATGCAGCTCCTCTTCTGATACACAGATTAAAGAAAGGACAATAAGAATTGTATGGTCAAGCAGTTAGCCTTTCAGGTTGGAGAAAACTGATGCCAGTTTTATAACTATCGTTCCATAACTGATCCATACATAGAGAATTCTGAACTTATCAATACCACCCCATCAATATTAACTCTGGGATCTGGAGCAAGGCACTTGACAGGCCCTTTACCTGTGACACTGGGTTTAGATGTCTATGAGAGCTCATCTAAATAACTTCAAAAGAGCCTGCCTAGTAACTCTCTAAGACAAGCAAGCAAAACCTCCCACCATGTCGACTGAGGTAGAAAGGATAAGGACCCAGCATATCCTGGGAAGGGAAAGAGTCTTTTTCAAGTATCTGAAAGCCAGAACAAATAATTTCATTCCTGTGTTGTTTTAAAAGGCTAATTGAGACTAATAATTAGACATTTTTGTGGTAGAAATGTCCTATAGAGGGTGATTTTTTTTTCTTAACGTGAATTTTTAGTTTGCTTATATTTCATAGCTAAAATTAGGGTAGAGGGACAGTGCAGGAGGGGAAGGCCCTCTATGAGGTGGATTGATTCAGTGACTTGGGTAATCGGGATGGGTGTGTCCGAGGCAATGTGGTTGGCACAGGATAGAGCAGGGTTTAGGGCTGTTGTACATAGGGTCGCTATGAGTCGCAAACGACTCGATGGCACATAGCAACAACAACAACAACAACAACAACAACACAGTATTTCATAGCTAAAATTACTATTGGTATGTTCGTGCTTTTATTCTGCTTAAATTAATTTTTTTAATTATTATTCTTGTTTCTTCAAGTGAAAATTTGCAAAGCACTTGGCCTTCCATTCAGTCATTCTAACAGATTTTGGTTTTGGGGGAGGAAAAATATTGTTTTCAGCCATCGATTTGAGGGGGTGTGTGGTACCCAGCAGTAAGTAACCAAAACAGAAAACAGTCATGGTTCTGAAGATAGTAAAGCTCTACTGACTTATTGTAGAGAGACCTAGGTTAGAGACATGGTTAACACTCAGCTGCTAACTGAATGTTTGAAAGTTCAAGTCCATTTTAGAGGCACATCAGAGGAAAGTGCTGGCTATCTAGGAAAATCAGCCTTGAAACCTCCCTGGAGCTCATTTCTACTCAAATAGAAGTTGCTTTTCAGCTCCACAGTCAACCCTCTTGGTAACTTCAGCCAGTAAATCAAAAGATAAATTGCATTGGGAAAGTCAGCTGTGAGGGACCTCTCAAGAGTACTAAAGAGCAACGATGTCAGGCTGGAGATGGAGACTAAGGTGTGCCTGATCCAGGCTATAGTCTTCACAATTACGTGCTATGCATCAGAGAGTTGGACTGTGAATAGGGATGATAGAAAGAGAATTGATGCCTTTGAGCTGTGGTGCTGGAGAAGAGTATTGAATATACCATGGACTGCTAGGAGAACAAACAGGTTTGTCCTGGAGAGGGTGAAGCCAGAATGTTCCCTGGAGTCAAGGATTCTGAAGCTTCGTCTGACATACTTTGGGCATGTTGCAAGGAGGGACTGGTCCTTGGAGAGGGACATCATGTTTGGGAGAGTGGAGGGGCGGCGCAGGAGAGGAAGACCTTCAATGAGATGGATCGATTCTGTGAGTGGAGTGGTGGGAATGAATGTGTTTGAGATGGCTAGGTTGGCACAGGATAGAATGGCGTTTAGGGTACATAGGGTCGCTATGAGTCGCAAGCGACTCAATGGGACATAACAACAACACTCAGAACTCACCAGGCATTCCCTGGGAGAAAGGTGAAGCCTTATAGTTTTGCAGAGACTTTCAGCCCGGAAACCTTGTGAGGTAGTTCTGCCCTGTCCTCCTGGGTCTCTCGGAATCAACTTGACAACAGTGAGTTTGGGTTGGATTTGGCCATAATCAAGAGGAGGTTCACGTTAGCTGACGTTGTTCCAGATCCCCTTCTAAGTTTCAAAATCAGGCAGAACAAGAGATTTCAGGTTTATTCTACTAAGCATGAGAGCTCCTGTTTTCTGTCCCTTTCCTCTTTTGAGTTCTGCTTCCTGCTTCTCTCTCCGGGAGCTTGTTCTGTGCCTGGAGCTGCCCCTCAGGCACACCTTGAGTGACAGAAGGGGCCTGGCCTTATGGTGAAGGAAGCAGGATGCTCTATGTGTGGTGGTGGTGGGGTTTTAACAGGGGTCACACAGAACCAGGTGCAATGCCTATGGCTGTCACTTCCCAGGAGTTCAGACCTCTCCCTCTCCCTAGGCCTCAATTGCAGAATGGACATGACATAGAGTCCTTGTCCCCTAGGGAGGCTAAAGGGGACACACTTGTGAACACTCGATAGAAGTTTTCGGTAAGTAACGTAAATCAAACCATTGGTATGGTTGAGTGAACTCCAATTCCTCATGGCCCCGTGTATTTCAGAATAGAATTACACTCCAGAGGCCTCAGAAGGATGTAAGCTTTAGGAGGCAGATTGCCAGGCCTTCTTTTTGAGGGGCTTCTGTGTGAATTCTAATTTTCAGCCTCTTGGTTGATAACTAAGTGAGCAAACCATTTGCGCTACCCAGGTACGCCAGGTCAAAGAATAAATACCAGCTATTGTCTTTGTTGGTTGGAGCTTGTTCATATGCTGAGGATAGAACGGACCTGTGTGTGATACTATTGAAAGCAGTCCACTCAATGATATTTGAGGCTCTTTACTCCTCCCTATCCCTAAAATACAGACAAAGAATTGATGCCTTTGAGCTGTGGTGCTGGAGAAGAATATCCCATGAGCTTCCGGAAGAACAAACAGGTCTGTCTTGGAGTAAGTGCAGCCAGAGTGCTCCTGGGAGGCAAAAATAGGAATATCAAGAAGACAAAGATTCTCACCACTGGACCAACTGGCAGCATCAGGATGGATGATGAAGAGATTGAGATTGTTCACAGCTTTAGTTTGCTTGGCTCCACAGTCAACACTCTTGGCACCAGTAGCCAGGAAATTAAAAGACGTATTGCGATGGGAAAGTCTGCTGTTAGGGACCTCTCCAAAGTTCTGAAGAGCAATGGTGTCTCTCTGGAGACGAAGGTGTGTCTGATACAGGCCATAGTCTTTGCAATCACTAGTTATGCATCAGAGAGTTGGACAATGACCAAGGAGGATAGAAGGAGAATTGATGCCTTTGAGCTGTGGTGCTGCAGAAGAGTATTGAGGGTACCATGTACTGCTAGGGAAACAAACAGATTCATCCTGGAGAGGGTTAAACCCGGCTGCTCCTTGGAGGCAAGGATTCTGAGGCTTCGTCTGACATACTTTGGACATGTTGTAAGGAGGGACCGGTCCTTGGAGAGGGACATCATGCTTGGGAGGGTGGAGGGACAGCGCAGGAGAGGAAGGCCCTCTATCAGATGGATTGATTAAGTGACTGGGGTAATCGGGATGGCTGTGTCAGAGACAGTGCTATTGACACAGGACAGAGCAGAGTTTAGGGCTGTTGTACATAGAGTTGCTATGAGTCACAAGCGACTCGATGGCACATAACAACAACAACAACAACAACAACAACAAGTTTCCTTAGGGAAATAATTGAAAAGGTGGAGAGCCAGAGAAAGACCCTCAACAAGATGCATTGACACAGTGACTGCAGCGATGGGTTCAAATGCAGCCAGGATGATGAGGATAGGACAGAGTTCTGGTCTATGAAGGTCGCTGTAAGGTGTACCTCACGGAACCTAAGAACAGCAGCGATCCCCAAAATACAGCGTCCCCTCCTGTGTATCATGCTGCCCAGAGACCCTGGTAGGAATCCTGGTGGCACAATGTTGAAGCACTTGGCAATGGAAAGGTTGATTGGAATCCACCCACCAGGACCTTTTCTGTTATCACTGCTGATACCAGAAGTGACGCCCTCCCTGTCCACCACACAGCTCTGGGGGAGAAAGACCTGGTTGTCTGCTCTCATAGATTGTTGTTTTATGTTGCCACGTCAGAACCAACTCATGAAAGACTTTTCAGTGGGTTTCCAGGGACAGTAAATCTCATGGGAGTTGATTGGACTGGGACCTCTGGGGAAGGCACACTTTGGGGCCAAAGTCAGCAGTTCTGGGTCAGCATGGCAGCTACACCACACTAGGTAGCTGTGGTCTGACCCTGGACTTGGCTGGTCAGACATGGGACCAGGGGGGGCTTTGATCTTGTTCTAAGCGGCTTCCAGCCACTGGGAGACTGAGGCACATAAGTTGCCACCTTTCAGTAATAATAATGGAACAATGTCGACAACAATGGAACATTGGAGCCTGGCGTGGATGGAGCTTGGGACTTTGTACAAGGACTTTAATCTTGAAACTGAACAGGGGCAGCGAGACCTCTCACTCTCCTCCCTTATTATTATTATTCCAAAATCAATGCTATGGGAGCGAAAAGCTTAACCCAATTAGGAAGTCTCTTAACAGCAGCACTTTTAGGGAAGGACATCGAGGACAGTTGGGCGTGAGTGGGTTGGAGGGGTTTCCAGGACCTTCTCTGTTATCTCTTCTGATACCAGAAGGCTTCTGAAGCTCTCCATCCTCACCCCCCACACACTCAGTCCCTTTCTTTCACCTGCCAACAGTTTCTTTCCCACTCCCCTCTCCACGCCGTCTCCACCACAGCTTCTGTTTTTGAGGCAAAAGCAGAACCCACAGGCAGGGGACTGGGGATGAAAGTGACAACATGGGCAAGTCCCTGGGAGCCTCCGGGGAGACTGTGTCTTTAAGGGAAGGGGCGGGGTCAAGAAGTGGGGCGTGACCGAGGGAGGGGTTAGATCGGGGCGGGGCCTGTTTGGGGGCGGGGCCATCTCCGAAAGTGCCCCTTGCAGAGGCTGCGAGCGGGCGGGGCGCCTGCACCGGGTGGCGTCGGTGGCGGAAGATCCGAGGACCCGGCAAAGGCCTTGAGCCCCGGCGGAGCTCTGCTTCGGAGCCTGCTGACCTGGACCCAGCCCGAGGTAAGAGGCACCTCCTGGGCACCTCTGGATGACCCGATCCCTCCGAGTTCAACTTCTCGGTCCTGCTGGGAGAAGTTAAGCGGAGAGACTTTAAGGGGTGGCTTGTAGGCAGAGAGTGCAGCCCCGATTTCCTGCCACCTCTCCCACCACTTTCTAACCAGTCTGCAAATCTAGCACCGGACAGGCACCATAAATGCTCGCTGATGAGTGAATTTTAAAAGATTGACAGTCAGTAGGACTCCAGACATATTCTGATCCTCAGTTTGGGGATCCTGGGGACTGACTGTGTCATCGAGTTGGTGACACTTCCAGCGACCCCAGGTTGGGCAGGAAGAACGCAGTCCCCGCTCGCAACTGCTGCTGTGTTGCAATGTGCCCACTGTTGCAGACACGCGAGGGTCTTCCTCTTTTTTGGCTGACCCTCCCCTTTCCCAAGCCTGACCTCCTGCCCCAGGGACTGCTCCTTTCTAATGGCGCGTCCACAGTGAGTGAGATGCCACCCACATTTCCAAGGAGCATGCCGGCTGCCCTTCCCCCAAGATAGCGGCAGGAACGCGCACCAGGTGAGTATTTGAGTGAGTATTTCATGCCCTGGAATGGCAGCATTTATTTCCATTTCTACAGATGAGAACTCAGAGGCTCACAGAGCTGGAGTAACTTGCCCAAGGCTGAACAGCTAGTTGGGCAATTACTGAGAGTGGATGGGAAACGGGTGTGTCTTGTCCAAGTTGAATCTCAGGACATGTTTTGGTAACCAGGTGAGGAAGTTGTGCTGGCAACAGGTTGTACTTCTCCTGGCTTGTTTCTCTCCTCTCCTCTCCTCTCCTCTCCTCTCC